ATATTAGGACCAGTATATTGGATAGCATTTTTGGTATTTGAGCCACGCAGGGGCGATATATTGAGGGGGAGCGACGAATTTCGGCGTCTCATTCACCCTCCTCCGACGACATAAATAATAATCAAAAGTTAATATTTTTTTAAATTTTCAAAATATAAAATTGACAAGCTAACCTGGATATCTCTTCTAGTGATTTTTTCTTGAACAAGCCATCTCACTTCCCCAAATTCATACTCATTACATGTCAAACATAAACCACCAAGATCTTCACAGCTATCTTCTAATCATGTCATAAAAGCTGTCCTTTTCATACCATCTGGATATAATTCAAAAAATCGTTTCCATAATGATTCCTTATTATTATTTAAATACATTACAGGCAAGCCAGTCCCAGCATTAACTTTATAAGAACTTGGTGTAGTATTATTTTTATCAAGTAAAAATGTCATAAGTTGATCCAATGACTCTTTAGACAATTTTACTCTAGTGATTGTAGGTTTGCTTAATTCAGGGCAACCAGGGCCATTGGTTTTAGCATACAATCTGGCGCTGGTCACACTATTTGCTGAAAGCCTTTATAAAAACATAAGTATTATTGTCAGAATTAATAATAATATTGTCTCAAAATTTTTGACATATAAATTTTCTTACACCAAGTTTTTCTTCCAATTCAGCATAAGTAAATTTGTTTGCAATTATTGAAAGCACACAGATACAATTATTTTGTCCTCTTTTATTTTGACCTAATGCTTCCTCAAAACATCCCCAAAATTTATTGCTTACACTTACCTCTTTTACTGTATTTTTTTTAGGTATTTGTATTGGTGACAAAAAATCTTGAGAATACAATTGGGAAAGTGTTTGTTGATCTTGTGAAGGATTTATTGAACAACTCCAAAATTCCAACTATTTGTTTTCAAATTTGTTTGATTTAATATGTCGATCAAACTTGATTTTTTAAAATAATTTTAAATTTACCTTGGATTCACCTTTTCCAAATGGAGTTACATTATGACAACCAGCTGCATTGAGCATTGCTCTCCATGCTCTAAGTTCATGTTCTTTAAAGACATATGTGATGGGTGAAGGTCTGTCAAAAAAGAATAAAATTCAATTATTGTACTTTGATTTTCTTTCCATTTAATAAAAAACTGGTGCCATTCAATATTAGATATAGTTTGACAACAAAGATGGTAATTATAGATGATTCATGATGTTTATATTCTCCCAAAAACTTGCATCACATTTTGGATTTTTATTCTCTGTCAAAATTTTTTTTGTTAATGAATGTTCTGATCCAAAAAGTTGAGTCCCATGAAATTTTTTTTAATTTATTTGATGTTCACCTGGAGTTGTCCCTATATATTTTTGTTTTAATTCTTCATCTTGATAAATTTCAATATGGCATCCATCTATGTCAATTATTTGGATGTATGTTGCATTTTTTTTAAATAATCACCAACAAACAAGGCAGTATACCCAATTCCAGCTCCAAAATCACCAATTTCATCAGGACATCCTAAAGCAGTAATATATATTTTATACTTGTCAATTTTTATTAAAAATGGACGAAATTTAATCCCTATTAATTACTGTTCTAGCAAATTAGAATTATCCCATCCCAATACTTGTGGTCCAGAGTATTTTGTATTACTCTTTGGAAAAATTCATTGGTACAAATTAGTAATTGCTGGAGTTGGTGTTTCTTCTACATCACTAAATTTCATCCCAACATGACACATATAGCCAGGAAGCTTCCCATTTTTTTCATTTCCTTCTTGAACTTGGGTATAGAAGCATTTACTATTTGTTTCCAAAACTGTTTGCTACCCTATGCATATAGGATATAGTTGAACACCATTCTCCAAATTTTTTTCTCCATGTGAGGACCACCAGTGCTGTAAATTTTGGCCATAATGTAAATGAGGAACTATTGAGCCTATTGAAACTAAATTTGTTTTTAATGTGGGTTGATAAGTCAAAAATCGGTTGTAGATTATAAAGACATGTGTTTTATTAATTTAATTATCCCTGCTGATCCTTATTTAAAATTGATGCAGATCACTCCTTCCTGCGCTTTCATTGGGCCCGTCTTGTCCAACCATAAATATATATTGTGTTTGTGTATCATAAGATTTTTTTTATCAATCATTTTTTAAAAAAACAAAAGGAAGAAAAGAAAAGACATCAATTGAAAGGAGCAAGTAAATGTCATTTATCATTAAATAGCAGTGGTTGTTGTCACCACAACTCAACTTTTTTTCACTCTAGTTCTTAACATATAATTTTTTTTTAAAAAAAAAAAGTACTGTAAAAAGGAGAAGATCAGAAGAAGACTGGGTGGAAACCTCTTAATAAGTGTCATTTATCATTAAATGGTAGTGGTTACGATCATTGCAACTTGTTGTCACTATTATTTAAGAAATGCTCTGATTTCGACTTTTATCAGTACATCATCATCCCCACCACCACCACCATTGTCATTGCTGTCATTAAAAAGGTAAATGTTGTTAGAGTATTTTTTTTTATTTTTAAAGGTGGTGGTCTTGCACAACTGCTGTTGCTGTTGTCATCACTCTAGTAAATTTACTTGTTTAATGTGTGTATATTTCCCACATCATATATTAATGAATCATGCTTTTTACCACAAAAAAAAGGTAGTAGTGAACATCATTGCAATCCTAGTAGGAAACCACAGCAGGCGCCTTTCGCAAGGTTCCTGCTTGATGTTCTCCTTGTAATTTATGAGGAACTTCTACAGACATGTTTCAGTGCTCATGGATGATTGCGATAGCACACAGGTCATTTGGCAGAAGTCAAGAGAACAATACAGTACCTGGACAAAAGCATCAGACACCCTAAATGTATTAATTACACAACAACGTACATAACAAGTATACAGAAAATTTATGTCAGTTTATAGCTTAGGTTCCGAAGATTATGTATACAAGATCTTATGTTTCTAAATTTACTAGAACTTGAGTAATTAAAAATAATGGAAATTCAAATATTTTTAGAAAAATGTTGATCAATTTTATTAGTGATGGTTACTGTTATTAATTACCCACAACTCTTTTTATCTTGAAGTAGCTAAACCTTTATTGATCTAATACTTAGTTGGCCAACCATTACTTTAATGCATGTTTGAATTCTTCGGGGCATATTTTCTATCAAATTTATTAAAACATTTTCAGGAATGTTTTTCCATTCTTTGTGCAAGGCAACCTTGAGTTCATTTTTATTTTTAAATTTATTAGGTCTTTTACGAACTCTCATTTCCAACTCTTTCCATAGATGTTCAATTGGATTCAAGTCAGGAGATTGACTTGGCCAATTTTTTAAAGTTTTTATTTTATTTGTTTCTATCCATGTTTTGACAACTTTTGCTGTATGGACAGGTACATTATCATCTTGAAACAAATACCCTCTTCCATTAAATTAATTATAAACATATGGGAGCAACTGCAATTCTAGTATTTCTACATAGTCATTGCTATTCATTTTTCCATCTACTTTTATTAGTGTACCTAGCCCTTTTCCTGAAAAACACCCCCATACCATTATGCCTCCACCACCATGTTTCACTGTTGGGTCAAGATTTTCAATATTGTATCTGGTTCTGGGTGTTCTCCAAACATAACCTGGACCATCATTTTGAAATAAAGTGTACTGCTCTTGTCACTCCAAATGACATTTTTCCATTTTCTAATAGTCCAATCTTTCTTATCAAGGCACCATTTTAAACGATCAACCCTCTGCTGTTCATCAATAAAGGGTTTAGCTGCTGGAACACAAGCACAAATATTTAAATCATGTAGATTTCTTCTGATTGTTTTAGTAGAGACTTGTAAATCAGTTGTTTCATTGAATTTATCTTTTATTTGTTCAGCTGATTTGTGATTATTTTTTTTAATGATTTTTTTCAATTCTTTCTGATGAACACTATCTAAAATTTTAGGACGTCCACTCCTAGGTAATGTTTTGACATCATCTCTCTCTTGATAATCTGGATTGTCCTTATACTGTGGTCCTAGGAAAACCAAGAATTTTACTGATTTTTACTTTTGTTGTGCCACTTTTATAAAGGCCGATTATCT